CCACGGAGACAAACCAAAGAGTATTTTCATTATTTTTATGGCTGAGAATCATTTTTATATGTTGGCTTGTTTCTTCTTTATTCATCATGGTTCTAAAGGCCATTTTACTCCATTCTAAAGCACACTTTGTAACATGGTTATGATTGATTAGTGCAATTCCCTCCTGATATTAAGCATTTTTCTTTGTTCCTATTCTTTCATTTAAAAAAAGTGTGTGTGCACATTGTGTATGTGTCCATATACCTTTTAGTTATTAATGTTTCTTGGAAAGTGCTAATCTAAGTGAAATAAATGTATAAAATAGTGTAGATGAAAAATTGACCTTCATTAAAAATATTGAGGTTTCCTGTAGGAATTGGTAGATTTCTCTATTCAAACCTTGAATTCCCCTCTCTACATTTTAATGATTCCATGAATCTGCTGAACATGTCTCAATTGTGTGTAAAGTCTTTTGACTCTGTGCTATGCTATATTTAAAGTGATGCTATATTTGGTTGCCAATGTTGTTTCTGTGTTCTATACTCATGATTTCTCCATCAGGCAGACAGTCAAGTCATCTGAAAATGCCACTTGGCCTCTATTTCTGTTATTCTCTTTTTTTGGTCTAAAGGTATTGCCTGTTTCCCTGAATCATAAATATTAGCAGGGGGAAGTAGTTTCCTTTTTTCATCCCTAATGACAGTGAGAGAAGAATATGACAGTGGATGCTTTCCTTTTGAGATCTGATCCACGTTAGAGAATTATGCAAAACGCTCCCGATTTTTAAAAATCTTAAATTAACACAAAATACTGAATATTAGAAAATATTTTCTATTTCATCATCTGAGCTGAGCATATGTTTTACTACTCTGACATACTAAATATTGAATTTTCTTTACATTCTTGGAAAGAAGCATACTCAAGTCACAGCCAAGCAAAGTAGCAGCCTGGTTGCTGGCCTCTTCTTCAAAAGATCTGATCAACAGAATCCAGGAAATATTTTGAGGCCACCTCAGTTCCTAATTAAAGATTTGTGGAATTTAGAAATGATAAATTCAACTTCCAAGGAGACTTTCCTCACTGAATATATTGCACACATATTGCCCTTTATCTGTGCTAAGTCTTTGGTATGTTTTGTTTTATTTGTTTAGGGCCTCACAGAATGAATTAGAAAATACTCCCCTTTATTTTTAAGTGTTTGTAAAGGATTTGTATTAATTCTTCATTATATATTTAGTAAAATTCACTAGTTGAAAAAAATAGGTACGATTTTTAGAGGATATTGCCATGTAAGTTTATGGTAATTATTTTCCTAATATTTATGTATCCAGTTTTGCCAATTTTCAGTTGTTAAGTACTATTTGATTTTTTATTGCTATCTTTCAATAAATTGCAAAATACTATTTGTTAAAAGTTAAAGCCTATTTTAAGGTATGGGGCACAGGCCTCTAATCCCAATAGCTCAGGATACTAAGGCAGGAGGATCATGAATTCAAAGCCCATCTCAGCAACTTAGTGAATCCTTTGCAACTTAGTGAAACCTTATCTCAAAAATAAAAAAAATAAAACGGACTGGGCTACGACTCAGTGGTTAAACATTCTCAATCCATGATACCAAAAAAAAAAAAAAAGTTAAAAGACTGACAATGACTCTAATTTGTTAAATTTATTGGCTCTAAACTGATTTTCTTTGTGTTTTCAGGCTGATCTTTTAGGACCCTAACAACCCTTGATTTGATGTGATTTCAAGATAAATATTGGCATACAGCATTTCAATGTTTTTTTAATGAGTCTCTATGGAGTCTATCAGAATTCCATTTTGATATTCAGTTCTCTTATAGATGGTACTAACAAAAATGTATAACTCTAGGTAGGAAAACTATAAGGTAAATGATTTTAGATAAGGTAAATGTGAAAAAATAAAAATGCAACGACAGTTTCTGTAAGTTGAATTTTAAGCACACTTTCTGAATTTTTTGGATTGAGAATGTAGCCCAATTTCACTCTGTAGCCACCAGAATTAGCCCCATGACAGCTCACTAGCACTACCTGGCACTTTGTTAAGTATTCCGTATAAATTCCTGCTTTCATATGCAGAGTTTTAATTTTAATTAATTTGCACTGGTGCAGTGTTCTTATGGTTGGGATTTTGGATTGATTTCTTAAGTAATAGTGAAGGTTACTAACAAAAGACCATCCAGGCTCACATCATCTCCTCCCATACTCCCAATTTAGAACATCAAATAAGTTTAACTTCCCCATCTCATTTGCAATTATTTCCTTAAATTGCATTATATCTAAAGGGAAAAAAAGCTGTGTTATTCCTATTTCTCTTACCTAGTTCTGGATTACATTTCAAAATGATGACAATCAACAGGCTATAGAAAATGGTGTATTTATAGCAACATGGTAACCAACTTAATTAAGTAATATCAGAGATGAATTGAAATCTCCAAGTTCTTTCTCTTGATTCAGACAATTTTTGTCATGATCTGAATACTCAGATGGAATTACGTGGCTTGATTACTTTTTAAAGTGATTATTGAGCTCTCCAGATACTTTTTGGTTCCTCAGGATCAGTTATCCACATTTACAAGTACTATATGTAATCGGCAAAAAATCCATTTCACTTACACTTTTTTTGAATCACCCCATTGTTGGTAAAATTGTGTTTGACAGCCCCAGATTTCATTATATAAAGTAATTTAATTAAATATATGATTTAGGGTTCCCTTAAAGCTGTATCTCCGATTATACAACTTGGACAATTTGGACAGACAAGGCTAACACAAAGACTAGAGCTTCCATAATCATATAACATTCCATAATCATATTATGGAATCAGTCTATATTCTTTGTAAATAAGGACCATAGCAATAGCTTAAAATTTTATTTGCTGCAGTATAGTTTATACTATGGGCAAACTCAAGACACTACCAGAACAATAATATTGAGAGTTAATAAATGAAGAAAGCTAGTTTACTTGATGATATGAGCCTAAAGGCAAAATAGACATCATTGATCATCTAGCACACCTTGTAGTTGAGGCAGAAATCCCCTCTTCTATGTACCTGGTAAGAACTCTTCATTTTTTATTCAAACAAGTTTAATAGTATTATACATCACTTGCTCACAGAGAATTCCACTACATTTCAAAGCAGCAGAAAGTCATTCCATCCTCACAGTGAAGCTGGTATCCTCTGGAGCCAGACTGTGTAGGTTCAAATTCCATTTCTGCTATCTCCTCACTGGGAAGTTAGGTGGATTTCATAAAATCCTTGTGATTCAATTTTGTGATGTGTAAAGTGGATTTCTATAAAGATAAAGCTGTTAACTATGTATAAAGAAACAGCTAATGTTGTATAAATACACAGAATGCTCTTATGAAAGCAATAATATTTTTTAAAAATTCTTTACACATTAAGGTCAAATATCTGTCTCTCAGTACCTTAAACTCTTTGGTTCTAGTTCTGATTCTAAAGCTGTACTATGGAAAATGTATCCCTCATCTACATTTCCAGTCTTGGCTTGCTTTTCTACAGGCAAAGCATTACCAAGTCTCTAACATTGTACATCAACATTATGTTGAAGTAGTGGAGGCCTAGACTAGGACTCATATATTTTTTGAATTTTTGGCTGATTCACTGGCACTCTACAATGCTTTTAAAACTTTTATTGTATAGACCTTAGAATATATCACGTGTATTTAAAAATTTATTTACATATTCATATTAGCAAAAATTTAACCACTAAATTTAGGATGAGGGAAATATGCCACATTTTAATATACAAACACAAATACATGCACACATACATTTTGCTGCTTTACGCACTATAGATATAGATAGAGACATGTTTTAGAAGCCCCATTTCCCCTAGAGAGGCTTCTTAAATCTTAGGAAAAGGCTGAACCAAAATGAATTGCAAGGCCTTGGGGTGTAGCTCAATGGTAGAACAATTGCGTAGCATGGGCAAGACCTTGGGTTCAAGCTCAGCACTGTAAAAGAGAAAAAATAATCTTTGCTGTTGTTTTAGTCAGCTGTTTCATTGCTATGACCAAAGGATCTGACAAGAACAACATAGAGGAGGAAAAGTTTTATTTAGAGTTCACAGTTTAAGAATTTCTCAGTCCATACACGGACAACTCCTTTGCTTTGGGCCCAAGGTAAGGCAAAACATCATAGTTCACAGGTATGGAGGAGAAAAGCAGCTCATGACTTGACAATCAGGAAGCAAAGAGCTCCCCTCAACAAAGGCACACTCCCAAAGACTACGACCTCCAGCCACATGCTACCTGCCTATGGTTACAACCCAGTTAATCCATTCAACTAGATTAATATACTGATTAGGCTAAAGCTCTCATAACCCAATCATTTCACCTTTCTTGCCTTGTCTCACACATAAACTTTTTGGAGGCACCTCATATCTAAACATATAGTGTCTTATTTAAACATTAATTATGTCATCAAGTTATGATAGGGAGAACTGATGTCACAAAATTAATAGTGAGTAATTAATTATGACTTCACTTTCAGAAAGCAGAATCATTTGCTTTTCCAGAGTACTCTACTCTTACCAAGACTTTAAGAGGTCAGAGGTCCTCATCATGCAGAAAACACAGAGGAGAACAGCATTCTTTAGTCCTAACAATTTAGACTGTGAAGCCTGTGGTATAAAGAATGGAGCTTACTCCTTACAGCCTTTGAATTACAAATACAACCATCAAGATGATTCTCACAAATGATGTTTAAAAACAAGCCCTTTTACCAGACAGATTAGAGGTTAGCATGAAATAAAACATACCAAAATTTAAAAATCACTCTGAAATTATAAAGTAAAAATCAAATTATCCAGGCTATAGTTGTTGGCATCATTTAGATTTAGGGTCTAATGCACATTTTCTCAATATCTAGGTTATTTGTACTTTCCAAAGCATTCATACATGGCTTTTGGGCAAGAAATCTGTACCAGATTTTTTAGATTTTTCTCTGACTCTTGTATTCATTTGTTGTTTTCCCAAGTTTGGACTGAATTCTCAGAGGGTAAAAAACAAGCCTTCTTATGAGGAGACCACAACAAGAGCAGCTATTTCATAAAGGTAAGTAAATATATCTTGAGTCCAAAAAATAGTGAACCATCAGAGCAACAATTCTGTACTGCTTCAAAAGCTACTTTGAGAAAATCTAAGGCTTTAGTTCAAACATTCATCAAGAAAAAAAAAGTTACAAAAACACTAGTATAGAAGCAAAAAACATTAACATATTTGGAATGTGAAAAGAATGCAAATATTGAGTACTCCCTTTAGAACTTTGATAATAACAGCAATCTTATTGGCCGTGGAGGCACATTTGACTTCTGTTCTACTCTTGTGGCACATGGTGAGTCTTCAGGAGGCTTAGCTGAAAAATTGAAAGCAGATGGCCCTAGAAGAGAATACAGTTGCTTCTCTTGCTTCAAAGCTCCTGATCAGGCCATCAATCTGTTGATGTCATGCCAGTTTCATCACCAGGAAGTAATGGCTCAGTGAAAAGAAAGAAAGTATTCCTGAGAAATGCCCCTAGATATTCTAATATTCTAGTGTCTACAGCAGCAGAAAGCTCTGTCAATGTTTTTTTTGTTTTGTTTTGTTTTGTTTAGGTTCACAGGCAAGCATTACCTTTAACTAAGTGAATAAAGATTTCTGATGTTTCATAGAATTTTCACTAGAAGTAAGGTATGGTTTATTCATCATTCTTTTATTCAAAAGAGATTTATTTATGTATCTATATATTAGGAACTGGTGGGGGAAAAAATGGTTGATAGGCACACTCTGTTCGTGAAATGACACAGTCATAGTCCCCAATTTTAACTAAGCATCTTCTGAGACATTTTTTTAGAAACAAAATTCCTTAGCCCCCGCCTCCAGACTTTCTAAATCAAGAACTCTGGTGATGGTGACCAGTAATATGTTTTTAAAAGGCTTCAAGTGATCCGATGTCCCTGAAACAGACAAACCAGACATTGAATAAAAAAGTGTAATATTGGAAACTTAACAAGCAATAAGGGAAACTTACTGTGGGAGCTTAGAAAAAGTAGTTTCTTACAGATAATTCATTACAGGTACTGATTTTGAAGGCATGAGGTCACCGATAATTGTGAACAGAACAGATTTTTCAATAGTAACTAAGCTTTTTTTAATCACAAAAGCCACTTGTTAACCTTGTAAGTAAAATCTTTGAAGGCTTAGTCCCTCAATGCTATATGGCATTTTCTTCCATTGCAGGTCGAATGAAGCACAGCTTGGATGAGGTACTGACCCAGGTCTCAGGGTCTTGTGAGTTCTCATGACAGTGCTTTTCCCAGACTTACGATGTGGAGCCCATGTGGAGGGCTCTATTGTGCTTTTTGAGGAGTTTTTTTTGTGCATACTGACACATTCTACAACAGCATTATACAGTCTGGGTTTCACAAGCATGTGCTTTTATAAAGATGATCTGATACTAGGTGATGGAGTTCACTTACCTTTACAACTGAAACACTGGTTTGCAGTCCTGGATCTAGGTATAAAGATATATTGTGGAGCTTTTTAAAAGTACCTAAGCTGAGATTTCAACCACAGAGATTCCACTGTCTGAAGAAAAAAAAATCATCACTTTTAAAAGGATCTCCAGGTGCAGTCAGGTCTGAAAAGCACTCAGCTTTGCTACTTAAACTTGATGTATCATATTATGAGGATGCTTGCAAGAACTGTGAATCTCAGGATCTGCTAAACCAGAATCAGCATTTTTAATTTTTATTCTTTAACTGGTACATTATAATTATACATATTATGGGATTCCTTGTTACATATTCATGCATGCACACAACAGAATCAGTATTTTTAACATTAAGACCTCCAGGTGATTGCCATATTCATTGTCATGAAATACTAGCCTGAAGGATTTCTAATTAATTCCTCTCTTCTGAGGCATCTAGACCACTAATCTGAAATCTCAGCACACATATTATCTATCCCAGCCTGAGTGTGGTTTGATATACCTTGGGTATCTGTAGTTTGTCCTGAAACATGCCTTTTGTTTGTTTGTTTGTTTGCTAATGCCTCAAAAAAGTTCTCTGGGCATATGAAAATACTCATTAAAACACATTTATTTGGTTTAGAAGCATATAGGAATATGATCCCACAACCATTTGGGGATGATTTTAAATACCAAATTGTGGATTTCTTTACAAACCTCATATGCAACATGTAAATGAGGGAATATTGTATCTGGTAGTATCCTCTACTGTCTAGGCATCAAGTTACCAAGGCTAAGTTATTAATTTCATTTAAATAATGCTTATCTCTACAGTAACCATGCAAGCAAAGTATTATTATGCCCATTTTTGCAATAGGGAACTGAGGTCTCCGGAGGGGAGTGGTTAAATTGCCTAAAGTTACATAACTGGTAATTAGCTTAGTAATCTTTCAAACTCAGCTACCAAAACACTAAAGACCAAGATCTTTTCACTGCTCTAACTTGACTGCTTTAATTCTGAAACCTTTAGTAAAGTGTTACACAGATCCACTCCTATACATATCCTCTAGAATATATTAATAATTTCCTCTCTTACTATTAATAAGTGATAACTGATTGTATCTTTTCAAAACTGTCCTTCAGTATCTGTTGAAATGCCAAATACCCTGCACTTGGTCCTAATATGTCCTTTAGTCAATTGAAATACTTATTTGCAGAAGAATCACTTTTGAATATTAATAAATTATAGACAAATTTGATTGTATCTGGCATATTTTTGAACCAGACAAAAAAATACCTTTTTGCCATTTCTGTTTTTTTTTTCTTAGCTCTACTAAATTAATTCAATTACAGGCCTTGTCTGGCTGCAGAACACTGAACTTTGGGTGCCTGCATATGTTTATAAATTAAAAGTGCAACTTTACAGTTTGCTCATTACTCTGGATTTGATGTATACCTGAAGAAAGCAGCAAAATTAAAGTAATAAAGCCTGTCTTTAAAAAGGCATTTAATCCCTGTAGTTCTGATTGGTGGAAAATGACCTTGGCTGAATCTTTCACGCACCATTGCATTTAGCTTAGGATGCATAATTCATACAGCATCAATTAGCCAACAGTAGAATCTGCAACAAGAGGGAATGTTTCATATAAATCACTGTTGGCCAAATTGCTGGGACAATTAATAAAGTAGAAAATCTGTGGACATCAATTCATAGGCAACACAGATTCATCAAAAGCAATTCAGTTTCCTACACTTCTTGGAAAGAAATCACACACAAAGAAAATACCAGATATTATTTAATCACTATTTCTTAGGAAGGGCTGATCAAGATAATATTATTTGTTGTTTTTATTTATGTGAACAGGTGCCTAACATAAGTGGCTCATTTGTTTGGCTTAAGGCACTAAATAACAGTGCCATTCTATGAGTTAAAACACAGCAATCAAAGAAAAGTACCCCTACATGTGAAGCATTTATAATCTAGTATAGATGTCCTATGGGCCCACAGGGCAATCTATAGGCTTCTTCAAAATGCAAATCATCTCATCATGCCAAAGTTGAGCTTCAAATGCTATTTTCATTATTTCCATATGTGTCACAAGTAGTCTAAAGAGCTAAAGAGCTTAAATTTGCCTATGTTTGTTAGAGATTTATGTATAATTTATATTAAACATATACATATCATTTGTATATATAATCAATGTGTGTACATGTATATATATGTGTGTGTGTGTGTGTGTGTATAATCTGCACATATATATGGTTTTTAATATACAGATTAAAAACATAAAATATGTCTAAAAATAGAATATATCCAAATACCCAGGAAATTGGTTGTGATGTACACAGTACATTTCTGTAATGTCCCAAGGTTTTAGTGTTGTTGAGGTTTTTGTTTGTTTGTAAACAAATGTGAATCAGTTATTCAGAGTCAATAATTTTTCTAAAGAAGTGGATAATTGAAATTCAGTTCTTTCTTTTATGAATATCTTAACTTTCTAAAACTATTTGTTAAAAATCCTTCTTTTCTTTTACTCATTGATATGAAATGTAATCTATATCATGCACTACATTTTCACATAAGCATTAGTCTATTTCTGGAGTTTGAAATATAAGTGAAGAAACTTATTTTTGACATGTGTGCTATCCTTTTTCCTTGTTTAAAGAAATGACTTTGTTCAAAAATAACTTGAAACCATATATAGAGCAATTAAAAGTAGAGTAACATCTTTTTAAATCACTGATTCCTCACAAAAGAGTCACATAGGTGTTATTTTTATTAACTGGAAGAAGAAAAATGAGGGAGACCTTCATATATAAGTAAATGATTATAACTTGGCTGTACATCAGTCACATGGAGAACTTGCAAAATCTAACTATTTCTGAGCCCCATTTCCTGGAGATACTGATTTAGTTATTATAGTCTAAAGCCCACCAACAATATTTTTAAATATCTAATTTGAGTTGAATGTGTAGAAACAGTTAGGAACACGTTTATGATTAGTATATTATAGGGCAATGTTTCTCAAGTTTGAAGCTGCATAAAAATCACCTGGAGAATTTTATTTATTTTTAGATTTTGATCCACTAAGACTGGGGTTGACCTTGATAGTCTACCGGGTTCATAGGCTCATTTTGCTGGTCCTTAGACAACTTTAAATAGTAAGAGGCCATAATTCTTATACTTAGCTGCCCCATTGGATCCACTGGAGATTTTTAAAATTCCATTTCCTGGGACTCACCTCAGAGATTATAAATTTCTCAGGAACTGAACAGAGGCCCAAATGCTATAAACTAACTCCAGTGAGAAGGGACACCATAAAATTTTAGAAACTTAAAACCTGCAGTCACAACAGTCATAATAGTCATAATAACCAAAAAAAAAAAAAAAGAAAGAAAGAAAGAAACAACGCAAAATGTGTGTCATGTGGGTAAATGCAATGTGGTCTATTCATCCAGTGGGATATTATTTGCCACTAAAAGGAATGAAATACTATTTCCTGCTGTAATACATACCTTGAATACATTATGCCACATGTCAGAAGCCAGACACATGGTGTACAATTCGATTGATTTCAAATGCCCATAATAGGCAAACCTATAGCTTCAGAAAGATTAGTCGCTGTTTAAGGGATGAAGATAGGAAGGAGACCTAGAAAGGGGAGTGGCTGATAATGCCTGTGCAGCTTTTCTGGGAGGGACGATGAAAATTTCTACAATCAATGGTGACAATGGTTGTAAAATTCTGAGAATACTAAAGACCATTGAACTATTGTATACTTAAAATAGATGAATTGCACAGTACATAAATTATATTTCAATAAAGCTGTTATTATTTTTTTTTAATTCTGCTACCTGGACTCACCCCAGAGATTCTAAATTTCTGTGGAGTGCAACTTGTGTATTTGTTTATTGTTTGTTTGTTTGTTTGGCTATTTTTTAAGATCTCCACAGATGAGTCTAGTGTTTGAAAATTCCTAGTATGAAACAGTGATTCTGAAAATTACTCAAATTTTTTACTTTCTCTGGAGCATTAATATGCTAATACCCCAGCCTCAGGCCAGACTAACCAATTCAGAATTCCTGGGGTGGGTCCAGGCATGAAGATGTTCAAAAAACACTCCCCATGATTTGTGTGTGCAGTTAAGTTTGAGAACCACTGATACAGATGAGATCGAGAAGTGTATTAAGAGTAGCCCAGGATGGTACCACAGTTTAGCTATTGTGAAATGTGCTGCAATCATGGCATTTGCAGGTAAATGGATGAAATTACAGAAGATAATGCTAAGTGAAGTTAGCCAATCCCCCAAAACCAAATGCCAAATATTTTGTTTGATATTAGGAGGCTGATTCATAGTGGGATAGGGAGCCGGAGCATTGGAGGGATAGAGGAACACTAGATAGGGCAGAGGGATGAGAGGGGAAGGGAGGGGGCATGGGGTAATTAATGATGGTGGAATGTGATGATCATTTCTTTTTAAAGTACAAGTATGAAGACACAAATTGGTGTGAATATACTACGTATACAACCACAGACATGAAAAATTGTGCTCTATATATGCAATAAGAATTGTAATGCACTCCATTGTTATATATAAGTTAAAAAATTTTTCAAAAAAATATTGAACAAATTTTAAACTGTTTCTCCCTCCTTCTAATGCCATTTTCTAGCATGTTCACAGTAGCAATTAAAGTACAAAATATATAATAGTAGAATAAAACAAAAATATATGGAGAGGATTTTACACAACAAAATAAGACATGATAAGAGATGATAATAAATAAAAATATAATATTTCTGGGTTATAAATTTGCATGTTTAACTAAATATAATTTCAAAATTGATGTAGGACTTCTTAAAATAATGAAAATACATAATTATTCAGTTTTTGTAATGGGCAAGAATAAACAAAATTTTTTGAAAAAAAAGCATGGGAACAAACTTCCAAATATCAAAATATACCATAAGGCCATAATAATTTGGTCCAATAACGCAGCCAAATGAGATTTTCCTGCTGTGAATCCACAATCATCCAGTCTCATGTATTTAAAGCCTTCAGAGTTTTTCTTCCCATTCTCAAACGTAAGCAGGTAATCAAGTTATAAAACAGCAAAGAAAAATTTCTACTAAGAAAGATAAAGCCTAAAATAAATAATTGAACAAAAATAACTTGAACACAATAGACCATGCAGAGGAGAAAAGTTAAATGAAATCAAATTGTTATCAATATTCCTCGAGATGAATATTATGCCCAAAACACAGAAAACCAAATCAAAAATAGGCAAGTGGAACTACATCAAGCTAAAAATTTTTGTGCAGCTTAGGAAGTAATCAGAGTGAAGAGGAAACCAATAGCATGGGAGAAAATATTTACACACTAGATATCTGATAAAGGCTAAATAGTCAAGATATAAAAGAGTAATAATAAATAATAAGCCAGTTAAAAGTGGAGAAAGGATTTGAATAGCCATCTCTTCAAAGAAGACATAAAAATGACCAACAGGTATATGCAAAGGTGTTAAAACAATTAATCATTAAGGAAATGGAAATAAAATTCATAATATGATATTGTCTCACCCCTGGTAAGATGGCCATTAGTTTTTAAAAATCAGAAAATAATGTTGGCAGGGAATCAGAGATACACAATACTGTACACTTTTGGTGCAAATGTATTATGGAAAACAAGATAGAGGCTCCTCAAATATTAACAAAAGAACTACATGATCCATTATCCAAAAGAATTAAAAATAGGTTATTGCAGAGGTATTTCCATTCCCATATTTAGTGAAGCAACCACGTAAGTGTCCATTGACAGATGAATGGATAAAGAAAATGTGGTATGTACATAAAATAGGTATCATTCAACCTTAAGAAAAACAAGGAATTCTGCCCTATTCTACAATATCAATAAATCTTGAGGACATGATACTAAACGAAATAAGCCAGACACAGAAAAATACATGCATCAGGATTCCACTCACTGGAGGTATCTAAAATAGAGAACAGAAGGACTGGGAAATCATTATTTGTGATGGTTAACTTTATATATCAGCTTGACTGGACCACAGAGGATCCAGATATTTGATAAAACATGATCCTGGTAATATCTGAAGGATTTTTGGAAGAAAGTAATATTTGATTTAGACTCAATAAACCTGATTGTGCTGTCTTAAGAGAACATAAAGGATGACTGGACTGTGAGTAAAAATGAACTCATCCTACGTGTTTTCCTGTAACACTACCTGTCATATCCTGTCTTTGGACTTCAAAGTGTAACATCAGCTCTTCTTGAGTATTAAACCTCATGACTTTTGCTCTGCAACTTTGCCATTCCATTGGCAATCCTAGGTCTCCAGCTTGCCAACTGTAGAACCTGAGACTCATCAGACTACATTGTCATGTGAACCACTTAATGACAGGGTTACATTCTGAGAAACGTGTAGCTAGGTGATTTTGCCAGTGTCTAAATATTATAGAGTGTAACAAACTAAGACAGCTACAGTATCAACCGGGCCATATAATCTTATGGGACCATCATTTCATAAGCAGTCTATGGTTAATCAAAACATTTTTTATGCAGCACATGGCTGTACTCTTGTGGTTCTGTTTCTCTACACAACCCTAACCAATTCAGATGTACAGAGTGTCAGTCATGAAAGATGAAAAAGTTCTAGAGATTTGCTGTATAACAATATTCATCTAGTTAACCAGTCTACATGGTGGTAAGAGAGTAGATTCAACATATGTGTTTTTTTTTACTATGAGAATAGAAACAATCATAGAGATAAACACAGCAACGATGAAATGAGAATGGATGGTCTTATTTTTTTAAAAAAAAGAGATTAGAAAAAACAGAGAAAATTTCTCAAAAAGTAGAGCAAAATATAAAAGTGAAAAATATATTTTAAAAGTCAGAGTATCCGTCAATAAGTCTAACATCTGGCTAACTGGCATTCTGGAAAGAGAAAACAACAAAAGATA